AAACAGATTAGTTCTCACACAGAATTTTGAAGGAATGCTGACCCTTCCTGGTCGTCTACTTAGAGGTCAGGAAAGCATCTTTTGGTCTCACTGATCATCACTTTAGCCTGTTTCTACCAATTGAGTTCCTTAGTTTCCAGAGATTGGCTGTTTGATGAAAAGATACTCTTAAAATGACAGAAAAAAAAAAAAAAATATATATATATATAGCCTCAGTTCTTTACTTGCCACCAGATTGCTCTGTTAAATGCCTAGTGTCTTTACTAGAAGTATTTGAGACTTAGTAATGACTAAAAGCAATAATAGAGAATGTGAAGGTTTGGGGTCTTATTATGGCAATTTTTTTTTTTTTTTTTTTTTTTTTTTACTAGACCTTTGTTATGTAACAACCACTTCCTGATAGAATAACCTGGGATTAGATCCTGACCCTCTAACATTCTGGAGAGACTTTGGGCAAATTATTGAACCTGTAAACCTTAGTAGTTTTTTTTGTTGTTGTTTTGGTTTGTTTTTTACTACTAAGTGAAAATAATACCTATCTCAAGTTTACAGTAAGGATAAAATTAGAAAATGTATGTGACAGGTACTTTAAAATATGAACAATTGGGTATATAGTGAGGAAAACAAGAGATTTGTAATCATACAGACTTGAATTCCATTCTTAGTTCATGGTCAAGGCTCTTAATCTCTAGTGCTTCTATATTGTCATTTCTTAAATGGGAAAGATATCTTCTTGGAAGACTGTTGTGAGAATTAAATGGGAATACATGTACGCACAAATGTGCACGTGTATACACACACACACACACACACACACACACACACACACCCCGACCCCACCCTACCCCCTGCAGCACCATATCGCTCACTGTGAGCACTCCTCTTGGTGCCTCATTCTCCAGACCAGGGTTAGGAAGTCCATGCTGCCACCTGCTCTCATGGGGACCATCCTGCCATGGTTTAGTCACTTTTCAAAGTTTAGACAGGACTTCCTTTGTTCTAGGAAACCAATTACTAAGAGATTGGAATTGGGGCTTTGTTGATTTGCGTAGCAACTACTTGAGTGCCCGCTGTGCCAGCACTGCTCTAGGGGAAAAGTGGTGGACAGAATATGACCCAACTCTCATGGAATTTATATTTTACTGGGTGTATTAGTTTCCAATTGCTTCTATAACAGATTACCATTTAGTGGTTTAAAACCAATTATATTTTATAGTTCTGGAGTTTGGAAGTCCAAAATAGGTTTCTCTGGGCTAAATTATTGTTTCTTTTTTTTAATTTTATATATTTTATTGATTTTTTTTTTTACAGAGAGGAGAGAGGGATAGAGAGCTAGAAACGTCGATGAGAGAGAAACATCGACCAGCTGCCTCTTGCACACTCCCTACCGGGGATGTGCTCGCAACCAATGTACATGTCCTTGACCGGAATCGAACCTGGGACCTTTTAGTCCGCAGACTGACGTTCTACCACTGAGCCAAACCGGTTTCAGCTAAAATATTGTTTCTACACACTTGAATTGCTTTCGGTATTATTTTTGCACACTTGAATTGCTTTTGGCCTTTTTAAGGGAAATCTTGAGCAGTGTTATACTGGAAGGGGGAAAGACATTACTGAGAGGCAGATGGAAGAGAGGGAAGAATAGCTAATACATATGTAAGCCTGGCAAACACCTACAGGTGGGGTGTTGCATACTTACACTTAATGTCCTACTAGAGAGGCCCAGTGCTCGAATTCGTGCACAGGTGGGGTCTCTCAGCCTGCAGGGATCGGGCCCCAGTTTGTGTCCCCAGCCCCGCAGTCCTGCCTGGCACCCCACCTTGGCCTGGAGCCACCCCCTTACCTGCTCCATCATTCCACCTGTGGGGAGATCGATTGGGGCCAGATTCCCCACCTGGCTCCCTCAGCACCTGGGAGCTGGATGGTGGCCCCGCCCACTGCTGTCTCCACTCAAACCCACCTTGGCCTGGCACTGCCCGCTCACCTGCTCCAGCATCCCACCATGGGTCCTGCTCTTGTTGGGGGACATCGGGGTTGGCAGCGCTTCCACTGCCGTCCACTGCCAGTTTGCATGGCTGACACCCCCCTGGTGGTCAGTGTACATCAGAGTGAGCGGTTGAACTCCCGAGGGGACAATTTGCATATTAGGCTTTTATGCTATAGGATAGCATGGCTCTCAGTGAGGTCTGGATTTCTCCAGGGGCCTCTGAGGCTCTCTCAGGAAGTCCTTGAGGTCAAAAATATCTTCGTAATACTAAGATACTGTTTGTCCTTTTCACTCTAATTTTCTTGCAAGTCTACTATCATAGAGTTTTCCAGAGGCTACATGCATGACAAGTGATGTTACAATAGAGTGGACACAGAAAAGATATGGGCTGCCTTTTATTAAGACAGACATTAAAGAAAATTAGCAAGATAGAAAACAATGCCACTGTTGCCAACTAAAAATGTTTTAAATAAGTTATGTTTAATATTTAAGATATTTAATAACATAATATTTTAAATATTTTCTTAGTTTTAATATGATAAATATTATAAATAAACCCCATTGACCAAAGCTCTTTGGGGTTCTAAAAATTTTAAATTGTAAAGGGATTCCGAGACTAAAAAGTTGGAGAACTCTTCTGTATCAGCTGCTGTGATTAGCAGCCACTATTTCTAGCAGTTGTAATTTAAGGTGAAAGGGGAGAGCATTTTTCTCTAGTCTGTTTACCCAGTCTGTATGCTCCTTTCTTACATTGCCTGGCGGAGCTGTCTTCTCTGTTTATATTTCAGAGGGGGAACCACTTACCTGGAGCTGAATGACAGCAGTGTCGCTTTTAATCTAGATTAAAATTTGAAGACATCATGTTTAGTTCTGGGGTCAGCTGAATGCTTCAGTTGCCCATCTTTCTAATTTCACACAGTTAAAAATGTTCAGGCTCTCTCAGAGCTTGCACTGGCTGGTATAATTTGACTTTAACCTTGGACCATAAGAACCCAGGTCTGATACAAAATTTCAGCACAGACCAGATTATAAACATTGTTGGAGGGAGTATGTGGCATGATAATGCTGCTCCTCTCCCCCTCCCCCTCCCTTGCTCTAATAGCTATGTTGGGAGAGGTGGTTGCAAGAATGAGTGGTTTTCTTTTAGACAGCCAGTGATTGTGATCTGGCATTTTTGTGTAGAGTAGATGCAGATAAAATGGGGCTGAGATTAAAAATGGTTATTTTCCAGAAGAACATCTAAGTGCATTTACAAATTCTTTCAGACCAGCAAGTCAGCTTTATGTTCTTTTTAAAAAAAATTTTTTCTAGCTTTATGCTCTTTGATACCAACGAGAGTAATGCTTGCTATCTGAAGATTATTTGGATCCTTTGATCTGAGTGGTTATTGTTACCAAATTGTTTTCCCCCCACAGTGCCTTGTGCTGAAGGAGGAGCTTCTGCCATAATGCCGGTTGAGGAATACTGGCTGTGTCTGCCAGCCTCTCATGTTAGACCTTTTGTGCAGACCGTCAGGGTCACGCAGACTTGTCCCCACTGGTGCTGGGTTCCAGGTGTTCTGCCTTGCGTCCCTGGGCCCTCCTGTGTGCCTGCCATGCTGCCATGGGGCCGCCCCAGTGCCGTGCCTCCTCCTCCACCTCCTCTTCTTCCTCCTCTTCCACCACTGCCACCACCATCACCACCACCATCTTCCTCTATTGCACCCCCTTCCACATCCCAAGCATCCTGTTCTTCTGACCCCAAGCTCAGCCTTTCACCCCCAACATCTGAGGTAGGCAGGAGAAAAATGTAAAGTCTAGGCTGGTAAGTTTGGGGGCTTTTTTTTGTATTAAGGTTAAAACTTGTTTTTTAAAAAACTTTTTTTATGCTTATTAACTTTCCCAGTTATTATCCCATATTAGCACAGAATTTTATTTTAATGAAAGATAATATTAAGTATATCACCAAAACTGTATTCAAAGCTAATGTGAAATGATAAATAATGTGTATAAAAACCAGGGGAAGGAAACATATTTTTATATTAAAAGTCTGACAGTTATATTATAAAGCCTGTTATGTGCCAAGTATATGGAATGTAAATACTGAATACAATACAGGGGATTCCATGTATAAGTAGATTAAAGAAATGAGCTTTATAGAGTTGTGTATTTTTATTCCCCTCCTCCTTTTTTTATTAAAATGCCCAGCAGAAGTAGGGACTTTTCCATTTGTCCAATTGATGATTTAGTTCTGAATTTCTAGATTTTATGCCTTATCTAAACAATATAGAAAAGTCTTAAGTATTTGGCTAATCTGTTTCAATGGCTCATCACCAGGCCCCTATCTTCATCTGAGACCCTAACCCACACACTATTCTACCCTTTGACTTGAAAATAAAGATGATTGACAAATTGTATTGATGACCCTATTAAAAACATACAGCACAAATGTTTCAAAACCTAATTTAAAACCTAGTTTAAAAATTCTAGGATATGCCTTAGGCCCTAGCCGGTTTGGCTTAGTGGGTAGAGCATCGGCCTGCAGACTGAAGGGTCCCAGGTTCGATTCTGGTCAATTGCACATGCCCAGGTTGTGGGCTGGATCTCCATTGGGGGATGTGCAGGAGGCAGCCAATCAATGATTCTCATTGTTGTTTCTGTTTCTCCCTTCCCCTCTCTGAAATCAATATATATATATATACACACACACACACACAATCCTGAGATGCTTCTTCAATATTTAAAAAAAAAAAAAAAAAAAAAAAACTAGGACAAAAGGATGGATCAAATTTAATTTAGGTCTAAATCAATTTTGTTGGGCCATCAGCACCTTACTTACGTGACACTTCTGAGTAGCTCTCTGTGATGCGAGAAGATTGAAAGTTTCATTTGTGTGCTGTGATATAAATCAAACATTTTTTCTTTGAAAAATTCCTTTTGCTTTTCTTTAAAGAAAGGAATGTCAAAAAACCCTTCAGACATTGCTGCTAATAGTTAGTTAAACTATTTTCCCTTTCATTGTTTTTGTTCTTTAGGCTTATCAAGAGGGCAGACTTCAAAAGCTACTAAACATGAATGGCTCTAAGGACCCTCCCGAGTCCTACGACTATGATCTCATCATCATTGGAGGGGGCTCAGGAGGACTGGCAGCTGCTAAGGCAAGTCTTTGTGTGCGTGATGTGGGTTACAGCAGTTCTCCAGATTCGCTGTGGAATTGGTTTGAGCCACTTTTGTAACATTTTGCACATTAACTTGGTAGAACTTGTTAAGGGGAAACTTTGTAAATCATTTTTCCAGCTTGAACTATATGTCCTTTATTTTAAAAAAAAGAAAAAGATATTTGTATTGATTTCAGAGGTGTGTGGGGGCAATGATGAGAGAGAATCATTCATGGGCTGCTTCCTGCACTCCCCTCACTGGGTATCAAGCCCCCAACACTGGCATGTGGGCTGACCAGGAATTAGATTTGACCTCCTGGTTCATAGGCCGATGCTCAACCACTGAGCCACGCTGTCCGGGCTGAACTATATGTTCTTTACCTGAAAGTACTGGATCTAGTATTGTTGGGATGCATTTTTATTCCTTTTAAGTTTGGTTGATTTTTTCCAAAGATAATAAGGGTGTTGTATGGAAATGGTTTGAAATTAAATATATTTCTTATTCTTAATAAATATTAATTTTTTCACTTTGATGTACCTATTCACATCTCCTCTTCCACTATAAAAAGATGGAGAGCGTGGTTAGATTTCTTAAACTCAGTAAAAATGATTTGCCTCGTGTATATACTGTGAGCTAAGAGAGTAACCACTAACACTGGCCTGGGGGTGGTAGGTAGAGGATTACAAATAAGAGAGGTTGGTATGAGATCCCTAGTCCTGAATTGAGATTCATTCGCCATGTGTGAAGGGGCTCTTGGAACTGTCATTCTTGCTGAAGAGGTTCTTTTAAAAGATGAGGTGCTTATATTCCTTGTAGCTTGTGGTGAATCAGTAAAAGTAGATTCAAAGGAAGCTGTCCAATATCTGAATAGGCCAATATCTGGTATTAAGTAGTGCTTTGCTATAAATGACTAAGGCATAGTACTGTGTATATGTATTTTACTGAAGTGATGGCAGTTTTGGAGGACACATAGACTCAGGACTTTCAAATAATCTTGGATGTCTAGTTGCCAATACACAAAGCTTATTCTGTGACAAAGATAAAGGATGCTCTTCAAGATGAACTTTTGACAGTTGTCACTCCCCTAAAATAGATTTGGAAATCTTATAGATCACCTTTTTCATTGGCTCCTCACATAAGTAAATCTGACAAATTTAAAAGAAAAACTTCTCCAACATTCTGCCTAGAAACAAGTAAAACTTAAAAGGATTTTAAAAAGTACATTTTTTTATAGGCTATAAACTGGTTCAAGAGTTGTTAACTATCAGAAAATCTGTTCTATTGCCATCATAGCACTTGCTTTGAAATGGTCATATGTTTTTCAGATTATCCCTTAATTTATTATTGTTTGTGTGGAATTATGTAAGAGGATGCTAAGATTTCCAATTGATGGACAATTTTATAACTGTAATTTGTGTGTTCTTAAAGCCACCCTTAGGATTATATAAGTATTGCTTAGGGTTTTTTTTTGTTTTTTTAATTGATTTTTTACAGAGAGGAAGGGAGAGAGATAGCTAGAAACGTCGATGAGAGAGAAACATCGACCAGCAGCCTCTTGCACCCCCCCACTGGGAATGTGCCCGCAACCAACGTACATGCCCCTGACCGGAATCGAACCTGGAACCTTTCAGTCCACAGACCAACGCTCTACCACTGAGCCAAACTTGTTTTGGCAGTATTGCTTAGTTTTTTTCTTGAGGTAGCACTAATTTTGGTATACTAGTATGAAATTCCCAGGTATTAATAACTGGTTATGCTTTAGACATTTTAGTGTAATAAAAATAGCATGGATTTTTTAATATCCCATTTCTAGTCTATCATGTTAACTTTTCCAACTCATTATAATAATTTTATTTTCTAGGAGGCAGCTAAATATAACAAGAAGGTGATGGTCTTAGATTTTGTCACTCCAACTCCTCTTGGAACTAAATGGGGTAAGTATATAAAATACTTTAGAAATGAATATTTGTAGGAGCAGGTTTTTCCTTGGTATTGGTTTAAATGGCTCCTAAAACCCAATTATAAAATTAAAAATTAAACAAACACCCAGCCCTGGCTAGTGTGGCTCAGTTGGCTGGAGCGTCATCCATTCTGTACATCATAAGGTGGAGTGTTCAATTCCTGGTCAGGACACATACTCAGATTGTGGGTTCAGTCCCCGGTTGGGGTGTGTGGAGAGCAACCAATCCATATTTTTCTCTCACATCGATATTTTTCTCTCTCTCTCTTCCTTTCTCTCAAATCAATTAAAAATACAAACCCAAAAACATGTACCTTTTACTTATGCTGTGTTAAAATGGGTTCCAGTTAAATGTTGAAAATTTAGATTCCTTGGAAGTCAAGATCATACAAAATCTTGTCCACAGCTTGTGTGATGATTCAAAGCTAACTCATACCATTTTGTTCACCTCACCACCCACCTACATATTACTCTCATGGAGATAGCTGATGCATCAAATAGCTATCACCATGTTCTAAACTCAAGCAAGCTAATGTATATATTTTTTTAATGAATTCTTTTTTTTAATATATTTTTATTGATTTCAGAGAGGAAGAGAGAAGGAGAGGTAGATAGAAAAACATCAAAGATGAGAGAGAATCATTGATCGGCTGCTTCCTGCATGCCCCTTACTGAGGATCGAGCCTGCAACCCGGCATGTGACCTTGGCTGGAATCAAACCTAGGACTCTCAGTCCTCAGGCCGACGCTCTATCCACTGAGCCAAACCAGCCAGGACTTAATGAATTCTTTTGTGAGAATCAGCAAAAGCTAAAGACCACGCCATCTTCTTTAAAACTTGCTCAAATATTGAGGCCTGCGCAGGTCCCAACCTGACTGTGGTTTGGAGTTGCTATCTGCCTCATAAAGTAAAGTAGAGGATTTGTCTTCTGGGAGGACTGAGTGGTGTTCTCCTTTGAAAAAGCCTCTCACATCATCGGTTTTGGCGTTTTTCAGGAATAGGAGGGCAAGGATTGAGGCCTCAGGAATCTGGGTTTTCATTTGAGATAGAGAGAGAAGATAGTGGTTATAACTAGAAAGTCCAAAGTAGGGTATAGTTACCTCTGGAACATGTCGCTGTTAACCCAGTATGGGCTTCGTGATAGTCATAGAGGTGGGTTCCTTAATGATAAAATAGTAATAAAAATGCAGTTTATAAAATGCTCATATACACCAAATTTTTGATGTAGTTCCAGACCACTTCAGTTCAATTATGCTCAGTTTCACAACCCCTTTATCAGGTAGTTCTGCTCATAGATTCCATGGCAAGTGTGGGTTGTACACAAAGTAAAATTTCAATTTCTGACATCTTTATTAGTAGGCAATTAATTTTGAATCTTTGAAGTCTGTGGATATTTGCCCATTTTTGCGTTTTCTGATGTGTCTGTGTTTGGTATATAAGGCTACCTGAACTTAGAAATGTCACAAGACTGAGGAATAAACTTGTATACACAGTATTGGCTACATTAAGCAAATAAATTGTGGTTCATAGACTGGCAATAATTGTGGATCTTTTTCTTTGAAGGATTGTAAAGCAGGTCGTGAACTGATCTCTCCCTGTTGTTGCAGGTCTCGGAGGAACATGTGTGAATGTGGGCTGCATACCGAAGAAGCTGATGCACCAGGCAGCTTTGCTAGGACAGGCCGTGCGGGACTCTCGGAACTATGGCTGGAATGTTGAGGAGACCGGTATGGGGGGAAAGCTGTAGCTCCGTTAGTGCTCTCGGGGGTTTGAGCTATGATCTTGCAAAACATCATTTTTATGAGACTAGCAATAACCTGTAAGTTTTTGTTGTTTACATTTTTAATGTTTAAAATTCCTGCTGTTATCCTGTGTCAGGTGGCGACATAGCTATTATGGTAAGAACAGCTATTGCACTTGGAGTTTATTTCTTTACTAGAAAACCAGAATTCTTTTAAAGAAATCCTGATAGTTTCATAGAGGAGTACGAATTACATTACTTGCCTTTGAAGCTGTTACATTTTTCTCGGTTCAAAGAAGTCTTTTTCATGGAGTGATATTTTGGGCAGGGAGAGATGGCTTGTTTGTTTAGCAGAGGATGGTTGGTCTTTGTCAGATTATAAGTATTTGGAGCCTGGTTGGTGTGGCGTAGTGGTTGAGCATCGATCCATAAACTAATATGTGAGGTCGCTGGGTTGATTTCTGGTCAGGGCACATGCCAGGTTGCTGGCTTGATCCCCAATAGGGGCCGTGCAGGAGGCAGCCAATTGATGATGTTTCTCTCTCATAGATGTTTGTATCTCTTTATGCCTCTCACTTCATTTCTAAAAATCAGTAAAAGCCTATTTTTTTTTAAAATATATTTTATTGATTTTGTACAGAGAGGAAGGGAGAGAGATAGAGAGTTAGAAACATCGATGAGAGAGAGTCATCGATCAGCTGCCTCTTGCACACCCTCCACTGGGGATATGCCCGCAACCAAGGTACGTGCCCTTGACCGGAATCGAACCTGGGTCCCTTCACTCCCCATTGAGCCAAACCGTTTTCGGCAGTAAAAGCCTATTTTTAAAAAAGTATTTAGAGTACCCTAGAAAATTTGAAGAGGAATTTGTTGACTTTATCTGGTAGGAGAATAACATGCCAGGCATAGTTCATGGCAATTAATGACCTATATCACTGTGTCCTTGGAGAGTGAACTCCAGCCCCTATCTGATTTTACCCTGTTTTCCCGAAAATAAGACAGTGTCTTATATTAATTTTTTTCTCCCAAAGTTGCGCTAGGTCTTATTTTCAGGGGATGTCTTATCTTTCCATGCGCTAGGTCTTATTTTCGGGGAAACGTGGTAGCTCCGAGACCTATGGGTTATGAGACTTTTGAAGGAAATCTTTCATCCAGTAGCTACAGTAAATTATTCTGTGGCTTTCTTTTTTTGGAGTTTTAATTAATAGTTGATTATTTTTTTTGAAAAGGCCTACATGCATGCTTTGAAAATGTTTGCTTCCACTCAAACTAGTCATGCTTCCTTTATTGATGCTTTTCTTTTTCATTTAAAATCAGCTTTTCCCCCCAAGTCTGGAATCTTAGAAAATCAGTTACTTTAAAAGTTTTCCTTGGGTTATCTCTCTTTCTTCAGACTCTTAGGAGACTGCTTCCTGGGTCTTTGGGATCTTAAAAAGATAAGGAGATAAGTATCAGCCTCTGCTGAATATAAATTTTATTAGTAGGACCAACTGAATATTATTTTAATAGATTCATTAATCAGGTGGTTGGGGAAATATAACTGATAAATTTGATAAATCTTCTTTCCAGCAAAAGAATGTCTCTGTGACTGTTCTGTTATAATAATAAGCACTGGCTATTTTTTTATGTTGAATTTATTTCTAAATGATATAAGGAACTAATAAATGCTCTGCATCAGGGAAATAAGAGCCACCACAAGCATAGCCCACATCTGAACAGCAAAAGCTCCCTGAATTTCATAGGGGGGGGTGTTAAAATTTAATTTAAGGTTATCTTATTTGTCTATCCTTACAAAAATTATCCAACCAATTTAAGTTTTACCTCTTTTGTGTTTCTTCCTCCTTTCCATATCTTAAAGTAGAAATGTACAGTTTTCTATTTTTATACCTTAACACCGCTTGTATTGTCAGCCACAAAAGCGATCCCTTCTTTGTCGTTAAATCCCTTCACTCTTCCCAAATCGCAGCAGGGGGGTTGCTTATTGTTATCTTCAGCTTTTCTCATTAAGCCTGGGGCCTTCTGAAGCAGGCAGTGGCCTGCCATGAGAGCCTGAGGCAGGCGGGCTTTGTCCGAGTGGCCTGTCAGGATCCTCCTCTGAGGGAGCAGTAATTACTCCCCTCCTTTTTGTGTTTAAAATGATTGTGAAGAATTAGTGGATTTAAACAAATTTTTATGTCATTAGGTCTTAGAGGAAGAAGGAAATTTGGAGGTGTCATTTCAGATGAGAATCCTCTAGAGACTGCTGATTCATGTTCCCTACAGATAAAGCGAGAAGGCTCATTTTGCCTTTTTCGAATAGAAACACGTCTAATCGCGTGTCCTTGAACAAAGAACTGGGCTCAGTTTTCTGGGAGGAGCCTTCTCTGTCGCTGCAAATGGCTCCCAGTGTGGGACGGAGGACAGAGACCTTGGCCAGGCAGTACAGCTGAATCTGCCCCGTGACAGGGGAGTGACACCGGCAGGACACAGCCTGTGATCTGCCGTTTCCCTGAAGCTCCAAATGGAGAATGTGCACAAAGCGTCCAAGGCCTTAAAAAAATTACTTGAAATCAGTTATGTAAATTGGATGAAGTGGTCCTTTCTGGAAGACTTATAGGCTTTCTATTTTTAAAGATTTCTTTATTTGAATTCTATGTTTAAGAATTAAGTGTATTTGTAAAATATTAAATATTTGGGAAGCTTTAGAATCCCATTGTCAATACAAAGAAAGCAAGCTCATTGGTTTGCAATCCGGGGCTTGCAGTTTGGGATAGATTCTCCTACCACCCACCTGTCTTTGCACATACGCTGTGCCTGCGTTTGCCTCTGGGTTAGTGTGTGGCCTTGGGCAGGCCATTCGTCCTTCATTGGGTTACAGCTGGTAGAGCAGGCCAGTGGAATTGGAGAAATGCTGGGCCATGCCAGCAGATGGGTGAGTGTGGGGTTGTGGCGTATCCAAGTAATATTTGGGAAGGCAGTGCATTCATTAGTTTCTTATTACACCATTTAGAAATTTTTATCCATTGAAGGTGGTGGATTGAGGCATTATCAGAAGACAGGGCAGCCCTGGAGAACTGGGGTTCAAGGAATGTTATGACCAATGGTCCAATAAGGATCCAGTGACCACCACCAGCTTATAGAGTAGGAATTTGGGTTACACAAGACCAGAAACTCAGTTCCCAGACTGGAATGCAAGGTCTGGACATAGGAGCAGCTAGAGTGCCTTGATGCTGAATCCCAAACTGGTGGGCAGAACTTTTAAAATCCTTCTGCCTGATTGAAATCAGGCTATAGAGATTGGGGATGGATGATGGTTGGCTAGCCCCTTGTCAGAGGGTGAAGGAACTCGGTAGAAAAGGGAGTTTGAGGAGTTTGGGAATCGGGGGATCTGAGGGCAACAAAGGAAGGCTGACTGAGATTGGGTCAGGTCTAATAATTGATTTTGGATTTCTGTCATTGAAATAACTGAACTTGTTGGTGCTGTTATTTAATCTCAACTACTGGTATGTCTTCTTTTAGAATGTGGTATCTTCTATAGGATTAGCAGACTATAGTTCACTTAGTAGTTCTACAACTATAAAATTTCAGAAGTGAATCTTCCCTTTAATCTAGGCCATTTTTTCTTCGTGGGGGAGTTAATGGCACTGGCACATTGGGCCAGTAAGGCACTGTAGTGAAGGATATTTAGCATTACTGGCCCTTGGGCATCCCTGAGTCACTATAACTAAGCCAAAATCACCACTAATAAAATGGTGTCTGGGGTTTGCTTAAATATTCTATTTTTTATTTATTTTATTTTATTTTTTAAAGAGAGGTAGCCTGGCCAGTGCTCTCAGTTGTTGAGCATGGACTGGTGAACCAGAAGATCTTGGTTCAGCCAGGACACATACCTGGATTTGTGGGCTTGGTCCTAGTGGAGGGCCTGCAAGGGGCAGCTACCAATGATTCTCTCTCATCATTGATGTTTCTCTCTCTCTCTCTCTCTCTCTCTCTCTCTCTCTCTCTCTCTCTCTCTCTCTCTCTCTCTCTCTTGTTCTCTCTCCCTCTAACTTTCCTCTTTAAAATCAATACAAATATATATATATATTTAAAAAAAGATTCCCATTCATTTCTAGATAAAGAAGAAAAATGTTGAGAATAGTTATTTTAGTCTTACGAATTGCCAGGAAGCTTTGCATTACTTAGTATCCTGGTAGTTTTTCTAAAAAGGAAAGAATATTTCAAGATTAAAAGGTGGCTTATGGCTTGAAATGAAGGACTTGCCCTTCAACTAAAAACCCTGCTCTTTGTATTCCATGTGAACAGTTTCTGAGAAACGACCTTCGCCGGGCAGGCGGAAGGCTGAGTGTCTGTCTTATCTCCTGTGCAGTGGGGCATGACTGGGGGAAGATGACGGAAGCCGTGCAGAACCACATCGGCTCTCTGAACTGGGGCTACCGCGTGGCTCTGCGGGAGAAGAAGGTCACCTATGAGAACGCGTACGGGCAGTTTGTGGGTCCTCATAGGATTAAGGTAATTCGTGACAGCCTCGGAGCTGCTTTCGGTTTGTGTGAAGCTTTGGCTGGAGGTAAAGGGAGGCAAGGAGAAGGGGGTTATCCTAATGGAAGTCATAGCCACTGTGACCCAGAGCGTCCCCTGTGGTGGTGACTTTGCCGTCCCCTCTCCTTGAGGGCTTTCTTCTGTGGTGTGTAGAGGAAGAGAACTAGAGTCAGGGCCACACCCTCTGGGTTTGAGTCCTGGCTCTGCCGTTTATTGGCGCTGTGACCCTGAGCAAGTCCCTTAATTACTCAGATATTACTTAATATCTCTTATGCATTACCAGATTTATAGGAGGGTCAAATTGGACAATGTGGTGAAGTGATAGTTCTATGTCATGAAAACTATTAAAAGCTGACATATTGGTTCCTTTGTAGGCAACGAATAACAAAGGCAAAGAGAAAATTTACTCAGCAGAGAGATTTCTCATTGCTACCGGCGAAAGGCCACGCTACTTGGGCATCCCTGGTGACAGAGAATACTGCATCAGCAGGTAAGGAAAATCTGCAGCGGGGAGAAAAAACCCATTGTGCATTTATGCTTTTGCTTTTGTCTTAAAACCTATTTTGTCCATTTCCTGGAACTTAGCGGATTTTTTCCCCCCATATTTTTGCCCAAAGAGGCAGGGGGTTGGGGAAAAAGAGAAAAAGAAAATTATTTTAGATATGAAAATATTTAAAAAATTAAAAACTATAAACATTGGTCATCTTACCACCCAGAGTTTACATCACTAACATATGGATGTATGCTTATATTGAAATTTATATATGTGTGAATATATTTTATGAATGTTTTTTATAAAACCAGATGGACAGTCACAAACATGTTGTGAAATGATAACATATGCATATTTATAGGATCTTCTGTTACCTTGCCCTTTAACACTTGCAGTGTGACACTGAAAGAATAAGAGGATGGCCGAAACCAGTTTGGCTCAGTGGATAGAGCATCGGCCTGCAGACTGAAGGGTCCCAGGTTTGATTCCTGTCAAGGGCATGTACCTTGGTTGCGGGCACATCCCCAGTAGTGGGTGTGTAGGAGGCAGCTGATCGATGATTCTCTCTCATCGATGTTTCTAACTCTCTATCCCTCTCCCTTCTTCTCTGTAAAAATTCAATAAAATATTAAAAAAAAAAAAAGAAAGAAAGAAAGAAAGAATGAGAGGATGGTAGACCATTTGGTATCAAAGTCTGGTCCCTAGTTTCTGTTGTTCAAATGTTTGCAGTGTCAGTGTAGATGGACCTTCCGAAATAAGTGAGTCAAGCAAGAGGTTTTGCTAAGTGATTTATTTTTGTCTATCAAGTGATAATACTGGTGACATTGTTTTTCAGATGTTTTAAATTATGAAGACATTAAGATAGATGGTTGATAAATATGTCCTCTTGGATGCTTTTTTTCAGAGTATCTTATTGTTATAGATTACTATTTTTCAGGGCTTTTTTTTTTTTTTTTTTTTGGTGGGGAGAGGGTAATGATTCATTTCCTCTGTGCTTCATAGAGGGGCAGCTCAGATGGCACCTGTTGTCTTTGTTATTTTAAACAGGTTCTCTTCTCAAAATTTAAAAAATTCATTTTCTAATGCTTATGTGACTTCACTTATATATTCTATATTCTTCATTCAGCAAGAAGATTTTACTTTTTATAATTGGCTTTTATATATAAAAACTGTATGTTGAATTTTTCCCCACTCTTGATAATTGGTATTCCAGATAAGAAGGACCAGACTTTTTCTACCTCAGAGAGAGTGGGATGGTGGGATGAGGGTTTAGATTTTCAAATGTAGGATATGAAACATAGTAGTGAAGAATTGTCCCAGGCAATTCAGAATCGGTTTGTTTGACCTTGAGTTGGACTGTGGTTAGAAGTTACAAAATTTGCTGTGCGTGGCCCCAGGGTAGATTGAGCTATTCCCCAAGCCACTGGGGCAACAAAGGGAGAGTCTAAGACCTTATAAAAACTTCTCATTTTATGTTTATAGCTAATTAAATGTTTACATTTTTAAGATAAATTTTATACAGAGAGGAAGAGAGAGGGATAGAGAGAAACATCGATGAGAGAGAAATTGATCAGCTGCTTCCTGCACACCCCTCCACTGGGGATGTGCCCGAAACCAAGGTACATGCCCTTGACCAGAATCAAACCTGGGACCCTTCAGACTGCAGGTCGACGCTCTAGCCACTGAGCCAAACCAGTCAGGGCTAAATGTTTACATCTTAAAGGTATCTCGCTGTTAAGAAAGTAAAAATATTTGCTTTGATTTAGTCATTATTCCCATGAAAATTTTTTTATTTTTGCCTTTCTTTTTACAAATCTCATTTCAGTGATGATATTTTCTCCTTATCTTACTGCCCGGGGAAGACCCTGGTGGTCGGAGCATCCTATGTCGCTTTGGAATGTGCTGGGTTTCTTGCTGGCATTGGTTTAGATGTCACTGTTATGGTACGATCCATTCTCCTGAGAGGATTTGACCAGGACATGGCCAACAAAATTGGTGAACACATGGAGGAACATGGTGTCAAGTTTATAAAACAGTTTGTACCAATAAAGGTAAGTGGAGTTGCTTGTAAGTTTGTTGGTTCTGTACACATATTAAAAGTTAGGAGATAGATTTCTATAGGTGATAGAAGCATCCTCTCAGAATTATAAACCATTATGGACACTATTCCTCAATTATGTGGTAGTGGTATGTAAACTTGTACCTACCTACCACCTAAATAGGTTTGTTCTTATTTGCAGAATAATAATTTCATTTCCTTCTCTGCTTTCTTATCTTTGGTTCTCTTCTGTTTAATACTTTATTATCTTTGGTCTGTTATACTTTGTTCCTTCATACATACCCGTGATTAAATAAGAGTTCAAGACGAGGCTGATTAAAAAAAAAAATTTCCTATAAGACATTTCTTCTAGATGTACAGTGGAGTCAATAGATGTGCTTGCTGTATTATTCTGGCTTTCCTGCATACAATCACCTATTTTGGTTAAGTGGGTGGCCTTTTTTGCTCATTGCATCTTCTCTTAAAAAGGCTGAACAATATGACAAGTTATATTGGGGCTTGTTAACATTACCGCAGATGCTTGATATGTAAGAGTGGCAGATCATACTTTGTGTATCTCAGATTAATAGTTTCCTTTAGTGCAGGTGAGGATGTTTTGTTAAAGTTAAGGAGTTTTATTTGTTATTTTTAAAATTGCTTAGTGGGTTACCATAGGTTCATTGTGTGACCATGAATCTCATGGTGCTGATGGCACACGGAGCATTGAGGCCAGAATGGCGTGGATTAGATACCGTTCTGCTCATTTCTTGCCTTTGGGGGAATTATTTAACCTCTCAGAGCTTCAGTTTTTTTCTATAAAATTGGGATGATAATGGCACCTATCTCAGTTCTTGTGAAGATCGCATTAGCTTACAGTTAGATAGACAGTTCAGGCTCAGAGTAAGTCTAAGATGAATTTATCTCATCTTTAAGATGATAATATTGTAGTGAGGATTAAGTAACAAATGTCCTGAAGGTTTTCAGTACTTACTGCTGTAGCTGTTTTTTAGGGAGTGGAGGTATATGATTAGAAAACAACAGCTATCAGTAATGCCATACTGATAAGGAAAGCAACGTCTTTTTTCTTCTTCTTCTTCTTCTTTTTTTTTTTTTAATAACATCTTAACATCTGGGGAGTTGTGGGCCCCTTTGAGGACCTACCTGGTGAAATAAACCTGTGTCTGTATGCACAGCATCTTGCTGAGTTACCAGGTGTCCGGTTCCCCAGAGGCTAGTGTGCCGCATGCTACATTATAAAGCTACTGAGTGGAAGAAGTCTCTGCAGAGAGGAGGGATAGAGTGCATTTTTGGCAAAGAACAAAGTATGAACAAAAATGCTATTGGGAATAAAATTGTCCTAGATACAGAAATTGTTCCAGCCGAAACCGGTTTGGCTCAGTGGTAGAGTGTCGGTCTGCGGACTGAAAGGTCCCAGGTTCGATTCCCGGTCAAGGGCATGTACATTGGTTGCTGGCATATCCCCAGTAGGGGGTGTGCAAGAGGCAGCTGGTCGATGTTTCTCTCTCATCGACGTTTCTAGCTCTCTATCCCTCTATCCTTCTCTCTGTAAAAAAAAAAAAAAGAAAAAAAAAGAAATTGTTCTAGAAACAGAAAACACCTGGCTGGAACAGAAAACTGAGTGAGGCAGGAAGGAATTACAGGTGGATTGAGGCCCTTATCGTTTTTAAGCAAATCTAAGCCATGGACCAGTTCAGCTTTTCTCCAAAGGTTAGAACATTAAACCGTAAGTTAATGGGAAAGACATTTCTTAACTGTATAAGAAAGCAAGGGAGTTCAAGAAGGAAATCCTGACTGCCTACTAGATGTTAAAAATAAAACCAGTCGTGACAGTTTTCCCACACAGAGCGGTTGTATTTTAGAGGGAGGGTAGACATTGCAGGTTACTTTTATGGATTTCTCCCAGTAAATATTTCACAGAAACCCATGATTTGGGTGTCATTCAGAGACAACAGAGGTTCACTGCATACTCGCCGAAGTCTCCAGATAGTAGGGTTTCTTAGTCATTGTCACCAAGTTGCCATTGACATCTATGTGTAGTGGCTAGTATGTTCCGTCTCATCATAGCACAAGAACTAGGACTGCTCATTTCCTGTTATATCCTTCACTGGAGGCAACCCCTAGTGATGACAGACACACCTCCTTGCCCACCATGGTTATCTGTATCATGATCAGCTTACTCATGTCTATTCTTTGTTAGAGCTGAGCATCTGTAGTCAAAAGAAGAACCTCTGAATATCGCAGCAGTGGCTTTCCAGGGGATTAGCGGTTCTAGGTGACTTACAAGACAGTCATTGGTTCGATTTTAGGGATTGTGGTCTGCTTTCTCGGGTTTCCCTTCCTCTTTTCTCTCTGAATTCTGCAGAAGTACTGTTTGAAAGAAAACCCCTGTAGCAAACATTGAGCAGCAAGAAAAGGGATTAATAAGAGAATCACATCTTAATGATGCTAGGGTGAGGGAGATGGGACACGAAAGACCTTTCAAACCAGATTTTGTGTAAACGTCGGTGAACCAGACAGAAAGGGAGGAAGTAATTACTTGATACATGTCTTTATCGTTGAGTAAAACCTTATCACTTTTATAGATTGAACAAATTAAAGCTGGGACACCAGGCCTACTCAAGGTGGTAGCTCAGTCCACCGATAGTGACCAAACCATCGAAGGAGAGTACAATACGGTAAGGAATGAATCCATTTTAGATTTCAGATTTCTCCACTGTAACTTACTAGTAAAATACTGTTTGTTAAGTGGCTGCAAAAGGGCATCAGCATTTTTAAATGAGCTAGAATTTCTCTGTCCCATGTTTTTCCCTTTCAACTCCCCAGTCAACCATGTTATTTTTCTTTATTGATTAAGGTATTACATATGTGTCCTTATCCCCCTATTTCTCCCCCCACCCCCCACCCCCACTCATGCCCTCACCCCCCTGGTGTCTGTGTCTATAGGTTAGGCCTAGATGCATGCATACAAGTCCTTTGGTTGATTTAGCCCACCGCTTTTAATGTTTATAATAACTGAATTCAGTCATAGGCTATGCTATCTTTGTCTTTAATCTTGTCTTGATTAATTGAGTGATTGTTAACTTCTTTTTTCTTGATAAGAAATGAATAAGGATTTCTGCTATATCATGTTTGAAGGATTTTTTTTTTTAAAGATTGTAATTTGTTTTAACTCTTACATTATTTTCATAATGAAATTTCTTCCCAGGTCTAGATAAGTCAGGTTAGCTTAATAAGCAGAAAAAATAATGATAAAATAACTCATGCAGAGCCTTTTTGTTATATTCACTACATATATGTCAACTTTTTTTTTTTTTTTTTCAGGTATTGCTGGCAATAGGAAGAGATGCTTGCACAAGAAATATTGGCTTAGAAACTGTGGGTGTAAAGATAAACGAAAAGTAAGAAAAAAATCTTTATTATATCTTATTGAATGCTATTTCAGTATTTATAATATTGATTAATGCTGGAGTTTTGGGTTTTTAAAGTTAATTTTTATCATAGTTGGAGAGTTCCCTTTTTTAAGTTCAGAAGAAGTCTCCCAGCTCCACTCATAGTATTTTCTGTTTCTTTTTTCTTCTCAAAATCTAATTGAGAGCTATATTGGTTTGCTTTTTGTTTCCTCAATGCATATGTGTGCAGAAAAAGATCCAGACTCCGGTTAATTGTAGGAATATGCTTTAGCTTCACTCTATGTAGATTTAAACTATGTTTAAAGCTACCAGGTTTTAAGGTCACTAGGACTAGGGTGGTCACTACATTTCTAGTGACAGCTGCATGTATGAAAACTTATTTCTTCAAGGGTTTTAACAGTTAAAGTCCTTCCATTTCTCTCCCAATTTTTTTTTTTGGGGGGGGGGGGAGCGGGGAGGCAACCAGAATTTTTGGTGGCTTTGTTTTGACAAGGCTTAAAGAAAAAAAGTTAGAGTCCTTTGGATTGTACTCCTGCACCAGATAATTGAGACTCTGGTATCTGCTCATAGGAGCAGCATGGGGTATTTCCCAATATCGCCTTTCTTACGTCCAACTAGAAAAGCACCTGCTGTGAACAGAAGCTTCCTCGGAGTAATGGCAAGCTCTTAATCCTTGCAGGAATCACATCCATTCAGAAGAAGAGATTTCTAATCTTACCGTGAAGATTATTTTTTCCTCGTTTTTTTTTTCCCCATAACTTGCTAGCCGGTTTCCAATTGGGTCTAAGCTTAGATTTCATATAATGTTAATAGTTATTTTGTACTTGGTGTGAGCCATGGACGGTTGTGCTGAAGGCTTTATTCACATTCGCATTCAATCCTCACAGTCTCTTACGGTAGATAGAGATGGTGTTCTTTTTCTTCCTACTATTATCCCCATCATCATCATTCCCATTTATGGGTGGGGGAATGAAGCTTAGAGATAGTAAGTAGCTCTCCCAAGATCACAGAGGTAATGACTAACAGACCTGGTTTTTACAGTTTATAATTCTTATTCTTAACGGCTGTGTTCCAGTTTTTCCATTCCAGGGTTTCTATCAATTTTCTTATTTCTTTACTTTTCAAAATAGCAGCAAGAATGGTCTCTAAGCTTTTATTTTCTCTGAAATAAATAAAGCTGTTTTGTGTCGTAATATATTAGAACATTGTCCTCAGCTGGACTCATACTTTTGGATTTCTGTGGGATAAAGGAGATTTTGTTCTACTTAATTAATAATGGTAGTCAATGAAGATTTTAACGGGATCCATTTGCAGGAATGGAAAAATACCTGTCACGGATGAGGAGCAGACCAACGTGCCTTACATTTACGCCATTGGCGACATTCTGGAGGGGAAGCCGGAGCTCACCCCTGTAGCAATCCAAGCCGGAAGGCTGCTGGCTCAGAGGCTCTACGCTGGCTCCACGGTCAAGGTGAGTGACACTTCATCCACTGAGACACTGTTTTTAATGATATGCCCAGTTCTCTATTTAGGGACAGTTGGGAAGTTTCCCGGATCTCGAATAATTTAGTTACTTTAATGATGGCATCCTAGATGTGCTTTATTATTGAATTCCAAATGACATTGTTAAGAATGCTGCACCTTTGTGATTTTATTCAGAAAACTGTCACTCTTGAAATTAAGAATAAAATGAGCTTGATTAATCAAGTTTCAGCACTGTTATGTTCCATATATACATAATAGTTGTATTTTATATCAATTTTATTATTATCGAGGTAAGAGATCTTGTTGCGGTGCCTATCTAGGGCATGAGGAAGGATTTGGGGATCTAGGGAATAATGCCAGTGAGCAGAGCTGCTTAAAGCAGTGTGTAGGCTTTATTTTCCTGTCCTTTCTAAAAATACATCTTCTGTGCCGGCACCGGTTTGGCTCAGTGGATAGAGCGTCAGCCTGCGGACTGAAGGGTCCTGGGTTTGATTCCGGTCAAGGGCATGTACCTTGGTTGCGGGCACATCCTCAGTAGGGGGTGTGCAAGAGGCAGCTGATCGATGATTCTCTCTCATCGATGTTTCTAACTCTCTATCCCTCTATCTTCCTCTCTCTGAAAAATCAATAAAATATATTTTTTAAAAATACGTCTTCTGTGCTTAGGATGTTGAATGTGTCCTATTAATAACTGAATGCGGTTTTTAAAAATCAATAGGAAATAGAAACTCTTAGGTATGTTTCATGGGTCCAGTATTGGTGAGGATTATGTCTGCTCATGGTGATTTTGCTTGGGGGGCGGGGAGAGAGAGAGGGTAATGGAGAGTGACTGCTAATGGGTATAAAATTTCTTTTTCTGGTGATAAAATCTGGATTAGATTGTGGTATTAGTTGCATACTTTGTGACTGTACTGAAAACCACTGAATTGTAAACTTGGAAAAGTGAATTTTATGGTATGAGAATTCTATTTCAAATGTTAAAAAAGGTAAGGGAAGGAGAGAAATAAGGAAGAAAGAAGCGAGGAAGGAAACACTAGGACTAAGAGAGAACAAAACCCAAGTAAGAAACAAACTTGGAATGGGGTGAGAGAGTTAGAAACATCGATGAGAGAGAATCATTGATCAGCTGCCTCTTGCACACCCCCTACTGTGGATATGCCCGCAACCAAGGTACATGCCCTTGACCGGAATCGAACCCAGGACCCTTTAGTCCCCAAGCCGACACTCTATCCATTGAGCCAAACCGGTTTCGGCCATACTTTTCTTTATAACTCTTCTGCTTGTGATGTGTCCAAGATTCTTGGATTTATCTGTTAATAGTTTTCAACCACATTTGGAAAAATTTCAGCCATTCAGTTATCTTTTTATTATTTTTTTTAATCCTCACCGGAGAGTATTTTTTCCGTTGATTTCTACAGAGGGTGGAAGGGAGGGAGGAAGGGGGAGAGAGAAACATTGAAATGAGAGAGACACATCCATCCATTGGTTGTCTCCTACACATGGTGACTGGGGATGGGGAACCTGCAACCAAGGTATATGCCCTTGACTTGGAATTGAACCCCAGACCCTTGGGTCCACAGGCCAATGCTCTTAAGCACTGATCAACTGGCCAGGGCTTCAATTAATTTTTCCTGTCTTCCCCCATTTTTGTTTTCCCTTAGACTCCAATTTATAAATGTTGGTTCACTTGATATTATCCCATGGTCTCTGATGCTCTTTATCATTATCAGTGATATTATCTTTATCATTACTATTTCCTCCCCACCCGATCCCATCTCAGTGCTCCATTTTCTTAGAAAACCTATTGCCATGTCTTCAACTTCACTGATTGTTTTCTGCTGTGCTCTCTTGGGCTATTAATCTCAATCTGTGTGGTTTGCACTCCAAATAGTCTTTTTCATCTCTACAAGTTTTATTAAAATAAATTTTCCATTTTTCTTCTCAGCAGGTTGATGTTTTCCTTTACCTGGTTGAATAGACCGCATATTTGTAATAGCTCTTTTAAAGTCCTCTTCTAATTGCATCATATTTTTTCAGTGTTTGTTTCTTTTGGTTGAATTTTCTCATGGTATTTATTGCTTGACATGTTCCTGCTCCTTTGCATGTCTGGATTCTGTTGAGTGGATGCAGATACTGTACGTTTTACATTGTTCAGACCTGGGTTTTGTTGCGTTCTTTTATACAGTGTTAGGCTTTGTTCTGACAGTTGGTTAAGTTACATAGCGTTAGTTTTGTCCCTTTTGTAACTTGCTTTTAAGCTTTTTTAGGGTCTGACTACAGCAACCTTTCACCTAGGGCTAACTTAGTTTCACCATTAAATTGATGTCTTTGGGCACCAGTTGACCCCATTCCTCTCACACGATGAGTTCCCTCTGCTCTGGCTGTGGGAACAGGAACTGTTTACAGACCTGTTGGAGCTCTGGTCACTTTGAGGCCTCCTGCTTTCCAGCGGTTCTTTGCTCTGAGGCATTTACAGGTCACTGTTCAGCCCAGATCCCAGGCATTCTTGTCCAGCTCTACCAGCTTCAGGCTCTGCCCTGCAGCTGTTGCAGATGCTTAAAAAGTGTTGCTATGTATTTGTCTGGTTTTCTAGTTGTGTAAAGCAGGGAGGTAGATATGGTCCCAGGTACACTATTGTGGCTGTCAGTGGAGATCTGCCTTTACTGTTGAATCAGAATTCCAAAGATTTATGTTCTTCTTAGAGAAAAGGGATTCTATTTGCTGTTTGCACAGGGAGGCACATTTTAAAGATTTCACTCTACTGTTTTATTGAGTGAGAATTCAATTTCTCATATTTTAAACGCAGAATGGCTCACCTCTCTGGGTAAATGTGACTGGGTAGGTTTTCACCAAATAGCATTTACAAACATTTTGCATTTATATTATAACAGTTTTCACAATTCACATCAGCATATTAAAGACTGAGAAATTTGGTAATTGAGAATTTATTTGCTTAATACAGCATTTTACAACTTCTTTGACTTCAGAATTCGTTTGTCATCTATGCCTATTAACATAAAATATGCTTTGGAAATAGAATCCTTAACTTTTTTTGTTTCTGTAGTTTTCATTTCACTTTAATTGCTACATAATATTACCTGGATGTGTATGTACAAAGAAACACTTCCTTATTTGCACTTTAAAGATGCTCCAGTATTGCCACTATTGAAGAGAGCTAAAGCATTTGCTCAGTTAATGCACACAGCTGTTTCTATATGTTGTTATAGATGTCTAAGGATGGGTTTATTGGGCCAAAAGGTATAAAATATTTTTATGATCAATATGTACTACCTAATTAATTTCCAGAGAAGTCAATTAGTCCCTCTGCTACTGATAATGAGACCATCAGCTTTAAGTACACTTGTATTGTTTTTGGCTGCTTTATTAAAGGCAGAGCAAGTCTGTCCTTGTTGTTAACATCCATGAATCACTTATTCGTGGCTAGTCTTGCCAGACATTAAACCTCTGCCAAAACTTCATCACATTGGTTCATGGTTCTCATGTGGTAGGTTTATACCTGTGATTGTTATGACTTCCCATATTTTTGGTAGAAATTTATTAGTCTGCTTTTCTCTCCTAATTTTTAACCTTTTTGAGGCATACCCTTTTTTTGATTTAAAATTTCTCTTGTAACTCTTCTCCATTTTGAAATAGTGTGACTATGAAAATGTTCCAACAACTGTATTTACTCCTTTGGAATATGGTGCTTGTGGTCTTTCTGAAGAAAAAGCTGTGGAAAAATTTGGGGAAGAAAATATTGAGGTAAGTTCTACTCTACTGCTTTCTTTTCAAAATTAAAAATAGCTGCTCCCTGGTGGTCTAGTGGTTAGGATTTGGCGCTCTCTCAAAATGAAAAATAATTTCAAGCACACAGTAAAGTAGGAAAATTGTACAAAGAACTTTTGTACAGTTATCCAGATTCATGTATTATTGTTATTTTGCCCATTTGTCTTTTCATGTCGCATAGTCTCTCTTTCTCTATTTCTGTGTATCTGTCTGTATTTTCTTTCCTGAACCATTTATAAGTAAGTTGAATGCCTCTTTTCTCCTAAAAACTTCAGTATATATTTAATGAATAAGAGCATTTTTAAATAAAATCATAGGGTAGTTATTACATTTAGGAAACTCAATATTAATACAACTGGAGGCCCGGTGCATGAATTCATGCATGGTGTGGTCCCTAGGCCTGGCCAGCAATAAGGACTGGTCAGGTTCCCTACCTTCCTGCCTCTCCACTTCTTCCCTGGCTTCCCACATCCGTTGCCACCCACCCCCGGTTTCCCATCTCAGCCTGGGGGTCTGGCCCCAAACAGGTGATTGGGGCCTGCAGGCTGGGGGAAGCTCCTGCTTTGAGCATCTGTCCTTTGGTGGTCAGGGCACGACATAGCAACCGGTTGTTATATATATCTATCTATATATATCTATATAGATAGATAGATAGATAAATATAGATATATATATATATAGATAGATAGATACCTTTTATATATATAGATAGATACTTTTATGTGATCTACCTTCTATTTTTTAGGTTCATCAGTTGATCTAATAATACTTCTTTTTAAAACCACTTTTACTGGTTTCTTTTTGTTATTGAAACAATATTGTTGAAAATAGGTATATATAGGAAAATACAAAGAAAAAATTAACTTAATTTCTGCTGTTCTATTAAGTTTTGTCCCTCTGCTATTATCCTCTAATTTATACTAACTATACCACTCACCTTTTATCATATAGTCAAGAAAATGCACATGAAGGGCGCTATTTTCATATACACAAATAATGTTACACAAAGTGACTGCTGTTTTTTAAGTCATTTGAGGAAAAGTTTTTAGTAAAACCTTCTAAAAGACCAGAGTAAGTTTCAGGATGTGAATCTATTTTAAATCTCTTACCAATCTTTTTCTTTATTATGTGCATTAGTAGTAGCATGTAATATCTTGGCCTATGAGTAATATTATTAACATTTTTCTGATTCTAAACATAGTATATCCTTCTTATAGAAAGCTCGAAAACATAAAAAAGGAAATTTTAATTCATGAAGTGGTAACTGCTGTTAATATTTTGGAATATTCTGGTCTCTAAGTATTTATGTATATTTAAGTATATTCAATATATAGAAACTATCTGTAGTTTCTATATATTGAATGCATGTTTAATTTTGTATAGATACATATATCATAATTTTTTAAAAGTGTGGTTAAGTTATTGCAGTATTCTGGCCTACTTTGCATAATATTAGGCCATGAACATTTCCCCCTAAAAACATCATTTTTTAAATGACTTGTATAATATTTCTTTTTAGGGATACTATACAGTAATTTGTTGTGCCATTATTTATAGTGAAAATCTGTTTATAGTTTTTCACTACTAATAGAATAATGAACCTCTTCATTATTATCTGTTTCTCTGATTATTTTCTGAAAATAGATTCCTATAAAGAGGTATTTAAATTTTAAGTTTCTTAATATACATTCCATATTTCTTGGCAGATCATCTTTGGATTTTGTTTTATTAGAATTTTCATTTTTTGTTATATGAATAATGTATTTGAGTTGCAATTTTGGAACATGTAAAGGAAATAGAAAACAATTACTCTTTTTTTTAAACAGTGATTATTAGCAATTGGGTGTAGTTTCTTTAATCATCTTTTTCCTATATAATTATCATCATACTATGATGATATACATTCAATTTGGTAACCCATATTTTAAGAAAAATTTACATCATTTTTATAATATAAAAGAACACTTATAATGTTTACCAGATCAGTATGTTTTGAATTGAAGCTAGTAGTTAGAGGAGAAAATAAATCCCTCTAGTCATCCAGGACTTAAGTTTATGAAACATAAGTAAGCACATCTGTGCCCTTCCATTTGCCCACCTTCCCTCTTGCCTTCTCTGCTTTCCTTCAATACTTTTGGTGAGTAACGTCAACGGTGGGAATGTCTAGCAAGAAAACTAGATAATTGCTATAATTGTTGCTGGCACTTGACTTGTTTCATGCCCAAAGTTGACCTTCCTCTCAGGTAACAAAATAGAGTTTTTTGTGTTGTTGTTTTTTTTAATCCGTATGTTAATGCAAGACAGCATGTAATGACCCGGCTTCTTTCTCTCACTTGCTGGCTCTTTGTTGTTATTAAGATTTAACGTTTACTGTTGAGCCTGAGTTATAATCAAGGGATGAGCGTATAGCAAAAGGATCTGCCAACAGGACTTTTAAAGTCATTTACTTTCTGACCAGATTCTACTTCCTGAATTTTATTGGGAGTATTTTGTATGTGTTTTCTTAACTTGGATTTTTCAGTTGCAGATGACATTCAATCTTATATTAGTTTCAGATGTACAGCATAGTGATATGATTTATAAAGTGATCCCCCCAATCAGTCTAGTACCCACCTGGCACCATGCATAGTTATTAGAATATTATTGACTGTATTTTCTATGCCGGGACTTTGATATCTCTGTGACTGTTTTGTAACTAACTACCAATCTGTTTCTCAATCCCTTCACTGTTTTTACCCAGTCCCCTCCCCTCCCTCCCCTCTGGAAACCATGAGTTTGTTCTCTGAATCTGTGTCTGGATGAATTCTGTTGCTTAGAGAAAATCTTAATACTAATGAGCCTCCATTGTCTTTCACCAGAGCTAGAGTTTGACAAACATGCTTCTTAAGATGATGAGTCTAATGGTGCTTATATCTTCTTAGGTTTACCATAGTTACTTTTGGCCACTGGAATGGACGGTTCCATCAAGAGATAGCAACAAATGCTATGCAAAAATAGTCTGTAATATGAAGGACAGTGTAAGTGCAATTCTCATTTAATCCTTTCAACTAATTTCATCTTGTTTTTAATGTGTAGCTCTATTTTGATCACATGCTTCACACTACACTCCTTTCCTGTTTTCCTATCGGTGCCCCAGCTGCGTAGACCTCTGAGGGCAAGGAGCACGGTGACACGGTGCTCTCCCCAGCTTCCCCGGCACAGAGCCCGCACAGGAGGCTGGCGGCTACGCTGCTGAGTGAGAGAGCCTAGGGACCCCTTGAGAACTCTGTGTTTGTGTGTATGAAAGGGAACCAATTAAGTCACCAGAGACCTAAAAATGGCAAAAAGAAAAGAACAGGAGTACGGTAGGTTTATATCCTAACTGCCTGTCCCGTTGGGAAAGCATTAATGGGAAGACCTCTTTTCTTTTTTTTTTTCTTTTTCTTTTTTTTTTTTTTTTTTAATATATTTTATTGATTTTTTACAGAGAGGAAGGGAGAGGGACAGAGAGTCAGAAACATCGATGAGAGAGAAACATTGATCAGCTGGCTCCTGCATCCCCCCCCTCCCCCCACTGGGGATGTGCCTGCAACCAAGGTACATGCCCTTGACCGGAATCGAACCCAGGACCGTTCAGGCTGACGCTCTATCCACTGAGCCAAACCGGTTTCTGTGGGAAGACCTCTTAATTGGATTCTGATTTAAGGTTTCATTGCTTGCTGCTACATGTACAGGCCTATGGGCAAGGTTTTTAACTTCAGTTTGTCTCCATACTTACAAAGCGAGTGAATAAATCATCGGTTTTCAAACTTTTCTGACTGCTCCCCCCATTTTATATTATAACCCAGGACACATATATGTTGTGCACATACTCTATAAGTATTGTGAATTAAATCTTATGAGAACTGGTATTTTTAACTTAGGTGGGACCTTACTTTAAGAAAAAATACAAATGATGCTAAAGAAACCATATATTAAAAGCCTAATAAACTCATATATTTTTTTTTATGTGGGATTGAATGTAATTAAGCTATATATCTTGTTTAGAAGTTATTGCTCTCGACAGATTGCTTTTTGCAGAACCCAGGGTTCTAGGAAAACCTGGATCCCGTGCAAAAAGACATCATCATAGATACATTTAATAAGCGAATATTCTAGGCTAACCATAACAAGCTCTACACACTTGGCGTCAAGAACAATTTTAGGTGCAGTTTTTTTCTTTTTAGACACGTTTTATGGAAAGGTTATTTGTGTGAGCATGCATTAGATACAAGTTAAGTGATTGTGCCAAGGCATGTACTAGCTAATGGAAGGGCTGGAATTCAGCCACAGGTACGGTCAATTCCATGCTATTAACTATTATCCCGTGCCTGTGCAGTCTTTTGTAGTCCTTGATCCTGTACCCCTCATTTGTTCCCTACCCCACAGGCAAGCAGTCTTGAAGTTGGAGGGTCTCACCTGTTCATATTTTTTGTTTGCCACCTCTGATGTATCCGTAAACGTTATACATTGTGGTTTGACTTGATGGTATCCTTAGTTAATTAGAGCCTGCAACTTGTTTTTAATCTCACTTTTTGATTATTTCTAGTGTATTTTAAGACCTAGTATATTTTGTGCTTTGTTTATCCATATGCTGACCCCCTCATTATCAGGATGAATGGTGTAAGTCCAACATGGAATATATTACAGTACTTTGGCAGGAGAATGACTTTTTGATTGAGCCCCACAGCCTGAGGTGCCTCAGCGGTTATGAGGAGATTGGATAGACAGTCTATCTCGGTCAGAGTTGGCTCTCAAAGTCTGAACAATGGAATGAATCCAATTTCTCTCCTCTTGGCAGAGGTTCTCCTGAGTTTGGGATAAAGAATCTATCCAAAATAATTCCTACACAGTTATTTCAGAGTTGCCAAACATTTTTCTATTATTTTCAAAAATGTTATATATCCCCAAAACCTGGTTACAATGATTTTTAACGTGAATGAGTGCTCTGAAATGTCTCAGCTGTCACAGAGAGGTTATCTGGGGCTTGAGGCAGCCCATGGAGGAGACAGGACACAGCTGTCCCTCGGAAACATTTTCCAGATCATTTTGAGCTTTTGGAGTTGCCGACGGTTCTGCTTTCAGTGTTTCCCTCGTCGTCATTTATCGCTAGTGCTCTTCCTTGCTTGATGTGACCCCACACTCTGTATGGGCCCATGTTGGAGTTATCTTCAGCCTAAGCAGCTCTTAGCGGCAAGCATTAATATAAGTCTGTGGCCACTTCTGAAAGGGGTTTTTAGAATGGACTGGGAAAATACTTCAGGCTGCTAAGGACATGGGGCTGAGAAATCCGCATAATTGTATTACTTTATTTTATATTTTAGGAACGTGTTGTGGGCTTCCACATACTGGGTCCAAACGCTGGAGAAGTCACACAAGGCTTTGCAGCCGCGCTCAAGTGTGGCCTGACCAAGCAGCAGCTGGACAGCACCATTGGGATCCACCCCGTCTGCGCAGAGGTGAGTCTCTGCACTACATGGCTCTGCCAAAATGCACACGCGCTCTGGCTTACCAATGGCACAGCTGGCAGTCTGGGGCCAGAGTTCTTCCTGCTGTATCGAGCTGCTTCTGTACCTCCTTGCAGCTCGTGGATGAGTGAGAATACCGCAAAAGGAGGCCTTGTCTCTAGAACCCACATTTTCCTCTTTCAAACGGTTCTTGTTCCTGGTGTGAACTGGATAGTACTGCCATGCTATTAATTGGTAAAAGCCATAGAGTGATTTATAGAGATGTGCCTTAAATCTTTCATTTGTCATGTCTTCTCAATTATTTTTATGGCAGTCAGTTAAAAATGCCATTCATACCCAGAAACAGCTTTAATACTTGTTATCTCGGGTGCACCTCGAGGATAAATGATAATGGGTGCCTCCTTAGCTTTGGATGTTAGGGAATGAGATTGAAAATGATGCCTTTGAAAGATCAAGCACATGCAAATAGAATTGGAAATTGACCATTATAGGCCTCTGGGTGTTAGTTTTCTTCATGTTTGTCAGTGATTATTGTGGAGTTGAATGTTGTAATGCTTATTATTAACTACAAATTGTAAACCCAAAATGTGTCTATGTTGGAGAAGTTGATGAAGATTGGGAGGAGGTATCTCATACCAGCTTAAATATGGAATTGAAATTACAACTGTTGTCTGGCCACCAGTCAGTGGTTTCCACAGTGTACTTCATGCTTGTGCACGCATGCACACACACACACACACACACACACACACACACACTCCTGCCAGGTTTTGTTCAGCAGTCTGCTGACTGGTGTCTGTTCTTCATACCCTTGTACAACTGAACTCTTTACTGAGTAGGAAATGTCAGCTTCAAGGCCTGGGAAATGTTTTTGTTCCTTTGCTTTGCTGTGTTAGGGATAGTGCCCTCCTGTAACTTATTATGCACCTGGCTGGGATAGTAGCATGAAAGTTTAACATGATCCGAGATTAGGGCATTCTTCATAGAAAACTACTGTCTTACGAACTAAACCCAACTTAAAAATATAATGTAGAAATTGAAAATAGTCTAGATCAGTGTTTCCCAAACTTTTGACATATGTGTACCCCTTCTATAATTTTCATAACACTATGAGTACCCCTCATACTCATGAGAACGTAGAATTAGGCGCAGCTAAGCACGGTGCAGTGCATATCCCCACCAAACTCCGGTGCAACGTGTGCCCCCACCAAACTCTTCCCGTACCCCTGCGGGTACATGTACCACACTTTGAGAAACACTGGTCTAGATTAATGCTCTTAAACAATGTGCTGTGATAATATATTTTATATTATAATATATTTTAGCTCAAAGGGGCGGCTTAAAACAAATGTATTCTCTCAGAGCTCTGGAGGCCGGAAGTCTGACATCACGGTGTCAGCAGGGCCCACTCCCTCCAGACGCTCTGGGGAAGAATCCTCTTGCTCTTCCCAGGATTGCTGGCAGTCTTTGTTGTCCTTTTACTGACAGGTGCATCACTCCAGTTTCCGCCTCTGCCTTCACATCGCCTCATCTCCTATGTCTTTGTCCAGATTTCCTTTTTATCACAGGGCGTCAGTCACTGGGTTAGAGCCCACTCTGATCCACCGTGATCTCATCTTAACTTGGTTACATCAGCAAAGACCCCGTTTCCAAATAAGGTCACGTTTACAGATGCTGGGGCCTCAGACTTGGACATATCTTTCTGGGGGGCTTAATTCAACTCATAACAATGAGTATATTTAAAAATCTTAATGCCAGTCCAAGAGGCTTAAAAACTACCACAATCACCTCCAATGTGGGTGAAAAGATAACTTGCCAATTTACACCTGTGTGTCTAATATTTTAATGTGAATTCAGCTCCCTGGGCTGGTTCGAAGGAAGACGCTGAGGGCTTGGCTCCAGTGGCGCCCCCTTGGTAGAGTTGCGCTGTGCCTCCGCAGTGGTGAGCCCGGCAGCACCTGGCAGGTGGCGGCCAGCTTCCTGACGCCCCGCCTACAGGGAGGCCAGCCAGAGGCCTGTTTCCTCTAAGCATTGACCCTGTGCATCTCCATCTCCTGGTTCTCCATGACAATGAAGCTCAGAAGCTAATTAATTTCACTGCTTTGATAGGGCAGCCCCTTTCCCCCCGGCTATTGGCTGATTTATGAGATAATAATTGGGTGCAGTGTCACTCTGTGAGCACGTTTGTTGTGCAGCTATGTGCACAGCACTGAGCTGGGCCCTTGAGGATACAGCAGGGATGTAAGACACAGTTAAGAGCAGGGAGGCAGGTGAGTGAAGTGCCAATCACAGTTCAGTGTGTCAAGCCCTAGGACGCAGTAATAGTATCATGTGGTGTTTGGAATAGGGATATGGGGCAGGGTGGTTGAGGAGGGAGTCTTGCCTAAAACTAGAAGAATGTTTTGTGTGAGCCAGTCAGAAGAAGCACCAAATAAAAGGCCTTTGTGGGAGCAATTATGGCTTACTCAGGGAACTGAAAACCCTCAGTACTGCTATAGCTTGACGAGCCTATGGGTTTAAAAAATTTACACACACACACACACACACTTATTTGTACACTAGAGGCCTGGTGCATGAAATTTGTGCAGGCAGGGATGGGGAGGGGGCTATCCCTCAGCCTAGCCTGCACCCTCTCACAGACTGGGAGCCCTCGGGAGATATCTGACTGACAGCTTAGGCATGGTGGGACATCCTTAGCACTGCCATGGAGGCAGGAAAGGCTTCTGCCACCACCACTGGGCTTGCCAGCTGTGTGCCTGGCTTCTGGCTGAGTGCACTGACCATCAGGGGGCAGCGATCATTGCTTTGCCATTTATTATATAGACTATACATACACACACTGGAGAAGTAAGTGGAAAGTCATGGCCTTGTAAACCAAGGTGCCGGGCATTTTTACTTTATCCTGAGGCACTGGGATTCAGCTTAAAATGGGAATCACATGATCAGATACATTGTTGAGAGAAATCACTTTTGCTACACTGGAAAATGGGCTTGAGGAGACATGTTTAGTGACAAGAGTGGCAGCCTGAACTAGGATGGTGGCAGTGGAAATTGAGATTCATTGGAATAGAAGGGCGAGTTGATCGTACTGGCCAGGTGGTTAGAAATGTGAACAGGGGCCGAAACCGGTTTGGCTCAGTGGATAGAGTGTTAGCTGTGGACCAAAGGGTCCCTGGTTTGATTCCAGTCAAGGGCATGTACCTTGATTGTGGGCACATCCCCAGTGGCAGGATGTGCAGGAGGCAGCTGATTGACGTTTCTCTCTCATCGATGTTTCTAACTCTCTATCCCTCTGTCTTCCTCTCTGAAAAAATTCAATAAAACATATTTTTAAAAAAAGAAAGAAATGTGAACAGGGAAGAAAGAATGATTCACATTTGTGTCTGAAGTAGGGAGCAATAGAAAGAGCAGGTTCAAGGGGAGAACTCCCATAATAGCACTGATGCTTGTGAGGGCTCCTGTGTGTGTCCAGCACTCTGCTCTGTATGTATCGACTTCGCCCTTGGAAGAAGCCCAGGAGGTCGGTGCAGTAGTGTCTCCACATGACAGATAAAAACAGAGAGGTTGAGTAACTTGCCCACAGTTATCAGCTTGGAGGTGGCAGAAATGGGATTCAAATCAAAGCCATCTGGCTCCATGCAGTACAGATGATAGGCCATTTCCACAGACCTTCTTAACATATTTATCGATAACATAGAATTTAAAAAATGAAAATGATATTGGTAGCAACCTAAGCATAATGAAGACACAGACCTGGGTTGTGATCTCACTCAGCGAATTCTTCTCATTGAACCTGGCATGTCACCTGGCTTTTCAGGGGCTTAGTTTCCACGTTAAATAAATTAGAGATAACATCTAACTCATAGGGTTGGTGAGCAATCTATGTGCAAAGTGGAAGTGTCTCAGACAGTTCCTGGCATAGAATAGCTACTCAGTGACTTGATACATCTGATAGCTGGGTTTCCCCAGGGCATTTCATTATAGATGTGCTTTGACTAAATGGTCATCACTACAGTATTTTTAAGAGGAAGGGCGTGGGTGGGGAAGGGATATGTATTTTGAAAAAGCTCCTCTGGATTTTTTTTAAATCCCTGCTTATGAATTATTTGCTTCGAAATTAGCTTTTGAAAAATGAAAGGCTTCTAACCTCTGACTATGGAAATTTTTTTTAAGTTACTTGATTGAGGGAAAGTGAAATTTGATTGGGATGGGATCTGCGGGACCCTTCTCTGTGCTAAATCCTGGGGTCTGACATGGACTTGCTACTGGACCCTTCCCTGGCTTTTCATGTCAAGCTATATACTGTAGAGGGGTGCTGGCCACAGAGCGTTGGTTACTGTCTTTAGTGAGCTAAGGGAGGAAATGAAAGATTTGGAAACTTGGAGAGTAATTCGACAGTATTGGATTTAATAATTAAAAGTAATATGCCTTTTAAAAATTCATTTTCCTAATACATTTTATTGCATTTCACAAGTGTCCGTCCATTGAATGGTTTAGGAATAATAATCTAAACACTGTCCCTGAGCACTGCTTTGAAGTGCCCAGAACTAGTTCCAGCTCCCAGGCCAGCTGTGGGCGGTTGGCAGAATGAATCATCAAATGATGTCTGTTACACGGTTTGGACAAAATAACCAGGCAATTGAGCAACCTTTGCTTTTGAAGAGTAATTACTTAGAAAAGTGGACAAATTCCTCAGTTGAGACTTTGCTCTTTGGAGCAAAATCACTTCTAAAGATTTCCTTCTGGAATTGCTCTTGTTTTTTTTTGTGTTGTTGGTTTTTTTTTTTTTTTTTTAATATATTTTTTATTGATTTCAGAGAGGACAAGGAAGAAAGAGAGAGAAACATCAATGATGAGAGAGAATCATTGGTTGGCTGTCTCCTGCATGTCCCCTACTGGGGATTGAGCCCATACCCAGGCATGTGCCCTTGACTGGCATCGAACCTGGGACCCTTCAGTCCCGCAGGCTGATGCTCTATCCACTGAGCCAAACCAGCTAGGGCAGGAATTGCTATTGCTTTAACCAGAAGCCTGTTGGTGTCAATATGAGAGGGAATCTTAGCCCGGGAGCATCAGGGATGCATTAGCATTATTCAGTGTGAAGATAGCATGGTGATAATTTATTCTGGACATCTGAGCAGCAATATTTGAATGGGATACTGGTTGTACATCATTTAGAGTCATAATTTCAACTTGTCAAGCATAAATGTAGGGGAAATGTACTAGCTCAAGTGGAAAGAGCATTAGAAAGGCCCCTGTGAGATGTCTCTAAATGAACGTCAAACGTCTTGTTTTAATAGTCAGCATAATCATAGGCTAGAGTGAGGGGCTCTTGTGAGGCTGGAAGGTGTTGGGGCCAGACGTGAGTGTGAGGTGAAGCCCGAAGCAGTGTTTGAGCCTGTGTTAGTGTTCGCAGAAAAACATAAAGGGGCAGCCACCATGCTCATTTTTGGAAATGTTATGAAGCTTCTAAAGCAGTTCTATGCAAATAAAAATCGACCACATCACTTTTTTCATGTCTACTAATCAGTAGTGGCAGTATGTCAGCTCCCCCCATGTTTTTAACATGAGTGTGTTATCAGTATAAGAAAAAATAGATAGCTTTTTTTTTTTTTTATCTGCTTGCATGTTTGATGGGTTTTATTTTATTTTCAAATCTGTAGGCTCTATCTATAAATTAATTCCTGATAAAGAAAACTTAAGCTGGCAAATTCATAAGCCTGAAATTTTTTTGAATGCATTCCCTGGCTCTTTATTGTTTTTTCATTGTAAAAATTGAGAGTGTGTTTTTTGTTATTTTCGGTTGCCCATGATGTGTCATTCTAACAGCTATTTTCATTACTGAATATTGTCTTTCTGCCCTCTTCCACAGTCACACATTTTTTAAATGAAGGAACTTTATTGCTTTTCCAAAGAGTCATACTGACTTACAGTCTCCTCAGCATTGAATTGAAGAGCGCTAATGAAAATGCTGCAAAATTCAGCATAAAATAAGTTTATGGGGGCTACCTTGTTCCAAAGACACTGGTGTTCCACAGAAATCCTCCTATGTGACAGCCTGCGTTACAGCCAATCACTTAGCACTCCTGCTAAAAATGAGGTTCCTGGGCCCTCCCCCTAGCTCTGCCAGATGAAAATCTGTATAATTTCTGTCTCTTTCAATTAGTCTAAACTGGCTGTGTTCACTACAGTTGGAGAAGCATTGTTTTACATGTAGGCCATCCTGTGAAGTAGCCAGCTAAAGCTGCCTAAAGATGTTCATTAGCTGTAAGCCCACCAGCGCCACCTGTTTGCAAGGATGTGACATGAGAACTCATCGGTCACTGCAAATAAGAGTGTGAGTTGGTCGGACCCCTTGGAAATCCAGTCAAGTCAGAACCGCATCTCCCCTCCAACCCAGTTATTATACTTCCAGCTCTGGGTGTGACACAGAGCATGCTGCAAATGTTGGCAATAGCTTGGATGACAATAGCTTGGATGGCCACCCAAAGGAGCCTGGATGTGTAATCGTAACAGATGCACCACTTGCATGGTTTGGATGTGTAGTGTGCAGCATGTATCGCATACTGTAGTAATTAAATACTCTTCAGTGAATACTCATCCATATGGGTGAGTTACAGAAGCATGTTTAGCCCAGAAAGCAGGTAGCAGAAGCAGACATACACCACCATTTCCATGTAGTTTTCAAAACTTACTAAAGAAAACAGGAAGAAATTGGTAGGAAGGGTCGGCAGTGATTGGGAGAGACTCAAGGAGGAGGTGATTCCAGCCACATTCCTAAAGCTCCCTGAGCTGGCCGGCACACGGGTGTTTGTAACGATACACCTTGAATATTTCTACGGCATCTAAATATTTCACGTGCATTTCCTTAGAGAATAGACAGGTGACTTGGGTAACTTGTTTAATCAGCCTTGTGCTAATAAAGTCTGTCATTAAAACTTAAGTATTTTTTTCTTTTGCCTTTGTTTTAAAATGTTTTCCGCCTTTATTCTCTGGAGAAGTTGAGGATATCCTTGGTCATACCACTTCTCTGTATCTTTCATTTTAAGTCAGCACCCAGCTCCTTCATACGTGTGACACGATCTGAACCACTCCTTTAACCCATCCACCCGTGTGTCTGAGAATCTCGCGCTTTCTCCTCCCACAGATCTTCACGACCCTGTCGGTGACCAAGCGCTCCGGGGCGAGCATCCTGCAGGCCGGCTGCTGAGGTTAAGCCCCAGTGTGGATGCTGCTGCCAAGACTCCCCCCACTGCGGTGCTCCCGCCCAAGTCCAAGGTGAAGTTCCCAGGGGGCTTCTTTGGGCCTGTGTCGCCCGAGGCACCCTTGGATCTCACGGGTAGGAGGTGGTGAGTGGAAGGCGGGCAGCATCACACTGGGGCCACCATGACAGACTCGAAACTGACCTTCGGCAGTGCACCGCAGGGTGCGTCCATGAAGTCACCGGCCTGAAGCCCCCGCGGTGGGCCGTGATGGAACTACTGGCGGAGCAGTTTTAGCAATTTCTAATCCTCTTTGATACGCTTCTATTATTGATTATTGTTTTCTGTTTTCTCCAAGGTGTTAATGATACTAGAATGAAAAAAAAAAAAGTTAGCGCTCGATTTTTGTGCAAAGCAAGTCTTGGCTTGAGTATGCTCGTGCGTGCCTCGTGCTTGGGAGGTGCGGTTTGGCTCACTTGGAGGCCGAAAGGCCCGTCCCCTGATCCACAACTGCCCTGGGACTCCGATGTTCTGTTCTCACCTGACCCGTGCAGCGTCTCCCCTCATAAGTTATATGGTCAAGCAAGTAGATGTGTGGCTGGCTCTGGCCACGTCTGCCCCATGTGCTCCATCACCAGTTACTGGTTTTCTTTCTGCTTAGGAGCGGAAATGGCGACTTGGCCAGCCTATCTGGGCGATATTCCCCTCACAGACCTGAGCGGTCCAGTACGATCGCCGTCATTATTCATCATGGGGCCAGGTGTGCTCCTTAAATGGGGAGAAACTTGGCGTGTCTTTACTGTTCGTTGCACGCGGATCTAAGTGAGCTGAAATGCTTAGTACTTGTTTAGAATCTGTTTTTGAGGGGGTAGCTTTAGCTTTCAGCTAAAAGCACAAAACGTCACGACTTTATTTTTCATGTATGTTATGTCTCTGTCCCTTGCTAAGAACTACATTTATAGAAAAATGGGTCTTCCACACTGCCATTTAACTCTTTTGTGGTAATTGCTTGTTTAAGGAAGCTCATCATATCATAAGTTATTATTTTTGAACACAGGTGGATGTGAAGGATTTTTGTTTAAAAACCCAGTGGTTTTGATACTTCTGTTGAGTGAATGGCTGTACCTGGTGGGGTTTTGGCAGAAGTGTCTGTGCTCCGTTAGCATTCCAACTTGTGTTACCAAGACTCCGTGTGAAGGCGCTGCCTGAGGATTATACTCAGGTTCTCCTCACTACGTAAGTTGAGTTTAACGTGCTGTGGCCATCGGGCCTCCCACCAGCAGACCTGTGCAGCTCCTGTCTCCCTCCCTCCCCTCTGCCAGTATCTGTCAGCTACAACACCGAGTAGTTGACTCAAAGTACATTTCTCAGCACCTCAGGGAGCCCGTGCGTGTGCCTGGCATTCCATCACAGGGCACTAACCCCTCCCACAAGGCCCTGTCTCGCACCCTCGTTTTTTTAATATGTTTTGTCTCCAAGTCTGCCTATCTCTGCCGAATCATGTGGTTCTCCCTGCTCAGGGGAATGGAAGGTTCTGCCCCCACAAGAAGGGTTGTACTTTATGGACTTGTCTTGTGTAGATTCTGTACTTGCTCAATGTATTGAAACATTAAGCTCTATGTATTTTTGTTATAATTCTTCGGAAAAAAAAAAAAAAAAAACACACCCCAAACACCAATGTGAACCATTAAAAGTATTGATAACCCACGCTGTGTGCCTTTTTACTGAGTGGTGGTCTCGGGGTTCTTTGCCTGAGCCTTCTTGTCGGCGATGACGAGAACCAGCTGCTGAAAGGCGGCGGTGATGGGCTCTCAGGACGGGGCTGACATTTGCATGTTATGGCGTCGACTTTTCACATTCCACTTTTTAGGTCGTCCTGATTGACCTGTCAGTCTTGGCCTTCGGGGTGACGAGACCACCCCGTCCTACTCCAGGCCACTCTGGGTCCTGGCACTTGGTACATCCATGGCTACCTCTGTCTGCTGCTGAGTGAAGAGACGAGAGGAAAGGACGGATGCTCACATCCTAGGCACGGTGGACAGAGTGAGTCAGCATTGCTTAATTTATGTGTCAACTTGCCTGGATCTTGGGGTGCCCAGCTATTTGGCTAAACCTTATTTCTGTTTGTCTGGGAGAGTCAGATGTTCCTGAGTGAAGTGAGTAGTTTGCTCTCCCCAGTGTGGGTGGCGTCATCTGTCCACAGGCTCTTCCCAGAGGAAGAAGGAATTCAGCTCTTCCTACCCGATTGCTTCAGCTGGGATCCCCATCTTCTCCGCCCTCGGGGCTCCTTGCTCACAGACCCCTGGTCTCGGACTGAACTACCCACGGGCTTCCCCACCGGCTTCCTGCGTCTCCAGCTTGCAGCTGGGGGCAGGTCGTGAGACTTCTCAGCCTTCACAATTGCATGAGCCAATACCTTATAGTAAATCTTTTCGTGTGTGTGTGTGTGTGTGTGTGTGTGTGTGTGTGTGTGTGTGTATACATATGATTAAAACAGACAGACCTTGCCCTGAAGCTGTGCATGGTTTGGGGGGGAGAAGGGGGTGTCATTTGAGGTCAGCAGTGAACAAAACAATAATCCTTGTCCTCAAGGCTTACATTTACAGTGCAGTTGAGGGAAATGTGCAGAAATACCAAGTCACAGAATGTGACGTGGTGGTGAGTGCCTAGAGCATGTTGGGAGTTGTCGGAGGTCTCTGGGCAGAGGAGGGGTGTGGGTCAGGGTTGAGGCAGCCTGAGGCTTCGGGCAGGATGGAGGTGACCGCAGCAATCATCCAGCGTAGTATTCCATTGTGTAAATGTACTACAGGTTTTTAATCTACTTATCTGCTGATGGGTACTTAGGCTGTTTCCAAAACTTAGTGAATTGTGCTGCTGTGAACATAGGGGTGCATACATCCTTTCTGATTGGTGTTTCTAGTTTCTTGTGATATAGTCTTAGAAATGGGATCACTGGGTCAAATGGGAGTGAGTTCCATTTTTAGTTTTTTGAGGGAACTGCTCTCCACAGTGGCTGCACCAGTCTGCATTCCCACCAGCAGTGCACAGGGTTCCTGTTTCTCTGCATCCTTACCAGCACTTGTCATTTATTCATTTATTGATGATAGCCAATCAATGATTCTTTCTCATCATTGAAGTTTCCCTCTGAAATTAATAAAAATATTTTTAAAAGGGGGGAAGGAGATAGTTCAATCACTGTATGTTCAACTATAAAACTAGTGCCAGATGACAAACGTATACTTGGAACAGATGAAGGACCTACATGTACTAGTATAAGGTGCAGCCATAAAGTCTTTATGGTAAATGTAGGAAAGTACCTCCGTGACCTAAAGGTGGAGAAAGACTTCCTAAGCCACGGCCTACAAGCATGAACCATAAAGCAAAGATGTCGCGTGGGCCAACTGCATCACAAGTTCTGCCCCGAAGACCCCCGGGAGAGAGCTAACGGGATTAACATGAAGACTGGGAGAAGCTAATTTCAGTGTCTGAAACTGACAAGGGATTTAGGCCATGGGGACAACAAGGAATTCTGCCCAATCAGCAAGATAGGAGCCCCAAAAGAACGGGCAGAGAACATTAAATCGGTTATTCCTGAAAGAGGAAACCCCATAATCCAACAAGAGAGAGATCTAACACAAGCTCCTGGCTAATGAAGAGGTCAATTAGGATAATGAGAGCATGTGATACCGTATCTGCAGACATCAGGAAGCCGGTGAACATTGGCAGAGGGGACCATGATCTCTGACCGGAGAATAGACTGCTTGTTGCTCCGTGTGTGGAGAGATCAGGCACCTTGGACCCCAGGACCCGGCAGTCCTGCTCCTGACAGCCCCGGGGAAATTCTCCCTCGGGTCCCCAGGGAAAGTGCTGAAAGATGTCCGCTGACCATCTTTTCGGAAGTTGGTCCCAATCCTCTGTCTCACGGCAGGGTGGACGCGCAGGCCGGGTGGATGCAGGACACACAGCAGCATTCTGGGAGGTACCATGCCATGGGTGGATGCCAGTGAAGAAAGCCAAGGAAGAGAAGGAGCCTTCCAACTGGCTTTGTGTATTAAAGTGACACCTCTCAACAAGAACCTCTACAAGTAGCACCAGCCAGCACAGCAGAGCGGCCAACTGTGGAGAGCAGAGGAGGAGGAAGTGGAAATAAAAGGAAGTTAAAGAGAAAGAGGGCACCGCACTAAAGCCAGCTGTCCTGCACCCCAGGTGGCGAGCAAGACCTCTCCAAGCCTCGCTTTTCTTCCCCAAAAAGTGGGGATGGTAATGGTGTAGGTGCTCACCTCCAGAGTTGCCAGGAAGACCACATTCGCTAATACATATGAGCAAGTACTCAGGGTAGTGGCTGACACCAAGCAGTGCTAGGTGAGTGGGTGCTACTATTAGCAGCAGGAGGAGAAGGCGCTCAAATCTCAGCATGGGAGGTCCAAAGCAGTCAAGCTGCAGTGCTGGGCCCTAGCTGGTCTGGCTCAGTGGATGCAGCAGCATCTGAGGACTGAAGAGTCTCAAGTTCATTTGTGGCCGGGCACATGTCTGGGTTGCTGGCTGGAGTCGCACCAGGAGGCAGCCAGTGAATGTGTCTATCTGCCTCTCTCCCACTCTCTCTGAAAACAGTGGAGGAATATCCTCTGGCGAGGATTAAAAAAACAAAAGGAAAGAAAGGGGCAGCGTTGGGACTCGAGCCCAGGATGGCGACCTGCCTCTTTAGACATCAGCCCTGCCCCCTCCCTCCCAGGCAGCAGCCAGGGGAGCCTGTTGGTCTGGGAAGGACCAAGTGACCCCGAGCCGGTCTGGACTCGGAGTGTGGCTCAGAGCCCCTGTTCGGTGCTCAAGGAAGTGAGGGTGACGTTAGGGAGAGCACTGGGCCAGAGGAGGCGGCCCGGAAGAGCAGGCTTGTCTCTAGCAGGGGGCAAGCACAGAGCCAGGGTGGGACACACTCTGCTCTGCCCCCATTGCCCACCCGGAAGCCCACGTGAGCCTCCTCACGTGAGCCTCCTCTAAGAGTCATTGC